GGCAGCGCATATGCTGCCCGATGTCTTTGCGTGCAATCCAGACGCGACATTGTTCATGCGTACATTGAACCTCAGTGAATTCGCATGTGTCCTTCAGATGGGTGGATAGTAGGGACCGTTGGCACTCGTGCGAACATCCTTTCTCGCGGTGGGGACACTCGACCATGAGTTCATCGACAAGCTGCACAATTGGCACGTTAAATATTCGAACGTCATGATATCGACCAATAGCAATGCCACGTACATTGCGGACGAGAGGGTCGGCAGGCACCAGATCGTGCAACGTCAGGGGCAGACGATCTATGGGACATTGTTGAGACACGCCAATGGCACGAGCAATACAGTCATAGCAGAACGTATGACAGCAGGTCCGTGCTGTACACGGTTCGACAAAGGCGGTCCTTTGGATGGATCAATCGCGTTAAGAAGTGAGGCGAAGCACACACGACAGAGCTATACCTGCATATACAGCAGACCTACAGAAGTTGTCGATGAGATGTTTGCTTCGCAATCCGGAGGATGGGTTCATACCAAATTCACGTTTGGATTGTCCACGTAGGAATACGTCGACATCCCAGAGAGCGTTATCGAGGAACAGCTAAGGAACAGCTTGCTACATCAGCTGCAGCCACTGCTCGTGAAATGGGGCTATCCACGTGCGTCTCACGTGGCACTATTCGCAAGTCTCTTGAGTGCTGTAGATTGTTCTTTGTTGACTGTCGCGATTGCTCTCAGCCCCGTACTGCGAATGGACGACAAGACGATGACTCGCGCACTGCAGAGAAGTGAATCATATTTTTACACTATCGTGAGCTTGTGAGGTCATTTGGATATTATGGCTGCACTCCATCTTGAGCTCGAGCTGTTGGGGATAAGCGTTAGCGCTACCAGAACAGCCTTTGGCAAACAGACGTCCATCCGGGCGAGCAACATCCTAATCCGATCCAGACATCTGCCCGGCCACAGAGTTTGTTCTGCCATCCGAACAGCGTCGTTTTGGCTCAAGACCGGGAAGCTTTCGCTGCCAGCTTTAGTGCCGTTTTGATCGCTCCAGCGGCACGCATCTTCATTTCGAACGTTAATGACCGCTCATATAGACTTCCGGTGTCCGTAGGACTGCTATGTCACTCTTCGTGCTTTCGCCACTACCACCCGAAGTCACCGATCGCATCATAGATTACCTATGGGCCGACCGGGCATCGCTTCGTAGTTGCGCGCTCACATGTCGAGCTTGGTTGCCCGCCAGTCGTTATCATCTATTCCATACCCTGCGCATCTGGAGCCGTGAAGCATTCGACTCGCTCACCCACAAGTCATGTATACCGGCGACGGCAGAATTGTTCCGATTCGTGCAACACCTTTCAATCAGAGAACGCTCCGGTCCAGCCTTCGCACATCTCGTACCTCCGCTCCTAGTCAGCAATTTGCCCAAAGTCACTTCTATGGATATACACAAATTCTCTCCCGAGGCTATTGCTCCGGAACCAAGTTTCTACACTGTTCTCGGCCGATTCAGCCAGGTCACTACGCTTGAGTTACACGAGGTCAGCTTCGGACCAATACACGACACATCAATGTTCCTCTGTAGCTTCCCCAGTCTGACACACCTGACGCTGCACAAATGCGTAATCCGGAGGGGACCCTTCATAATCGCACAGCAAGCACCGCCTGTCCGGACTTTGTCTTTGACATCGCTCGCCATTGGTGAGATGATGCTTTGGGTCTTGAGCGACCTTCTGCAATGGCTTTCTGTAACGCCGACCGCCCAAACCCTGAAAGTATTCGTATTTCGAGGTGGGAAACCAGTGGATCCAGGTGGTCATAACTTGGCCCCGGCGTATGCCAGGATTGTGACAAGATTTATTCATAATCTTGGTGCCTCCCTGCAAGCTGTTACTGTGCCCCTTCTTTCGGGAATTGATGGTACGACTCTTCTTCACGCATTGTCAGCCATCTCACCTTGTAACAGAACATCGAGCGCTCCTGGTGACCTCGAGAGGCCTCCGCAAGATCCACCTCCGGTTCAATGCGAATAACCATACGATGGCCTCCCGTTATCTATCGCATGTTCCCTCCACTCAAGTACAGACTGTGGAACTTCAGTTCGGGACGATGTCCGCACAAATCCCGTTCGACATGTATATACCCGGACGAGCGCCGATTCCGTCGCCGCTGAAGAAGTTCCGTGACATCCGACCATCTCTCCAGTCCATTAATGACGTCCTCATTAGTAATGCTTTCCCTGTTCTTGAACAGGTGATCGTCCGCTCGTCGCACGCCGCGTTTCCGGGACTATCCCAACAGGCTTTCAGACGAAAAATACAACAGGCGATGCGTGGCCTCGACGCGCGCGGGATGCTGCAATTCTCTGTAGTGGAAGATGAGGATTGTCTGCAGTGACAATGTGGTCGAATGGGTGGGAGGGGGACGGAGACCAAGGGGATCAAGGACGTAAGACATGGTAGCGCGCAACCTCATTTCTATCGATTGGGACACCATGGTAACTCTGTAGTGATTACATACGCCGCTAGTCCTTCGGGTTGCAATTCCTCCGTAGTCCGTAGGCAGCAAACTATCGGGGCTGGCCACAGCGAAAAAGCACGTGATCTTTAGCCTGTATCGATGGTGGAGGGGGGCAGTTCGGTTTCGTCTGTAGAACCTGCAAAATATCGTAAGTCCTCGGACAGCCTCGCAAGCCTATCTGAACGCTGACATCGGAGTACGCCAATAGCAGCGACTGGACCCGCTTTGATCTGCTAGGAGTCACCATGTGCCGATGCTTCGCGATTGCGCAATTCCCCGCCGCCTATCCTCGGAACACAAGCGCCGTGGGGAGCCTCGTGTAAAAGCACCTGCGCCGTCACTTCAATCTGCTCCAGATGAGCAAGAGGCATCATTAACTCCGTCTCCGCCGTGTCGACACCGCCGATCGCATCGCGGATCAAGCTATCAAGATCGATCAAATCCGTCAGATTGAGGAGGAATATAGGGCATCCACATTAGTTATCTGTGTCGTGGCGCGTGCTGGTGAGTTATAGCGTTGATCCGGAACAAGAAAGCTTACTGAACTCCGTTCATTAGTACCAAGTGCTATCGGACATGGATCCACTGCCACCGGAAGTCACTGATCGCATCATAGACTTCCTCTGGGCGGACCGAGCATCACTTCGCAGCTGCGCACTCACCTGCCGTTCCTGGTTGCCGGCCAGCAGGTTTCACCTATTCCGCACGCTCCGTATCTGGAGCCGCGAAGCCTTCGATGCACTGATACACAAATCGTGCATCCCGGAGACGGCAGAGATGTTTCGATTTGTGCAGCATCTTTCCATCAGAGAGCGATCCGGCTCGTTCGCTCATCTCGTACCTCACATCCTGGTGAACAAGCTACCCAATGTCACCTCTATTGACATACATGACTTCTCCGTGTGGGCCGTCTCCCCGGACGCCGGCTTCTTCTCCATTCTCAGTCGATTCAAGGGCGTCAAGGCGCTCGAGCTCCGCAACGTGCAGTTTAGCACCATACACGAAATGGCCATACTTCTCTGCAGCTTCCCTAGTCTCTCGCGCCTCTCTCTTCACAGCTGTAACCTGATAGGCGATTTGCTTGGACCTCCAGTTCATCTGCCTCCATTACGGACATTGTCGTTGACGCACCTCACCGTTGATGCCGGCAGTATGGGGATTGTGACCTCAGAGTTATTTCTTGAGTGGTTGCTTCAGACACCGACCACCCGTACGCTTCAGACTTTCAAGGTCGTTACCGGATACTTAGCGAATGTGATGGCGATTTCCGGTATTCTTACCAGACTGATTCATGGCCTTGGTGATACGTTGCGTGCGATCACAATATCTTTGTCGACTTCGGTCGATGGTGAGTCAATTTCTAAGTAGCGACCTCCACCGGACTGCTCACACAGTTTACGTAGAACAGGAGTCGCTCATGTCTACCTCGAGCGGCCTCCGAACAATTTACCTCCGCTTTAACGCCGATACTCATGCCACGGCCGCGCTTCATCTGGAACATGTCATTTCAGCACAAGTACGCATCGTAGAGCTCCAATTCGAGGCAATGTCAGCCCACCTTCCTCTCGAAATCTCCGCAGTCTGGCACTTGTCTGAACCAGTGTCGCTTCAATTCCGCGATATTCGACCATCTCTTCGAAGTATCGACACCATTCTCGTCAGCGATAGCTTCCCCACCATTGAACAAGTTATAATTCGTTCACGGCATGAACCATTTCCAGAATTGTCCTCGATGGGCTTTCGACAGAAGACACAGCGTGCATTGGGTCGAGTCCATCGTCGAGGCATACTGAAGTTCGTCTCTGCGGAAGACGAGGTTCCTTTAACATGATTTCTTGTGCCGCCGGCCTGCCCGCTGGAATCAATCAATCATGATCGAATATTGATGGATAAGCGGGACACAAGTAAATTTGCACTTAGCGTCCACTTCAGTATGGGTCAATGGTCTTGCTCGGGAATATGACTTTCAGACGGGAATACATGCCATTTTTTTACAACCAGTTCAGTCACTGAATCTTACCATGTGGGTATGGTGCAGTAAAATGTCTGGGTTATGTGCAGGTAGGGATGATGCACAATGCAAATTTTGCGAGGCAAGCTGGGATGTCAATCAGGAGTGTCGCAGAGTGTAGTGCGCATTATTTGGGACAAAAGCCAATGTCACAGTTATTACATGCAGATGGTACTCTACACAGAACAAATTTAGCCATGACAATAGACAAGCCAAAAAAAACTCTGGGGATATCCGACAGGCATCTTTCGATTCATAGGAAGCCAGGGAAATTCTGCGAACACATTCTGTAGACCAAAAGGCACTACCTGAGAAGTGCATACATTCATGTGAGATTTGTCAACACAGAGAAGAGCTTGTTGCTAAGACGTTGCGTGCTTGTATGTTGTCCAACGCACAGGGCAATTCAACACCCCGCAAAAGGGGACACCACAAGTGTTCGAACCTCGAGCTGCAAAGCAAAAATCGTCACCTGAGCGATTCGAACACTCGCGGGCAAAGCCCAACCGCTGACTAAGCTACCGCAGTAGCAGGCGATCCCGTTAACCACTCCGGCAAAGTGACTTGTTCAAACGCTCTATTTGTAGATATATATCCCGAAAAACACAAGTTAGGTCTCAATTCTCCTGAACTGCTCACAAACTAAGGATCTGCCAGGAACGTCGGAATCCAATCACAATACCGAGCACGAGATAGGTTAAGCCGAGGAGGACAGGGATGAAGCGGGGAATTTCTATGTGTAATCAGATTGGGCAAGATGAAGTGCAATGATGCGCAAAGTTGCAAACGAGGCTTCGACCGCGGGTAGACGGCGACAGACAGTAGAGCCTGTACAGGTGTCACAACGCGTAAAGTACCTAACGTATGCATTTCATCTCGCCTCCAGACCATGTAGCGCGTACTCTATAGCCGACGACTTGTTTCGGTTCAAGTATGACGATAGCCACAAATGCGAATGTGAACTCTTATCAATGCAGATCAACTTTGTCACCTGTGAACTCCAACCCCTCCGACCACGAAGTAAATGCATCCGTGTCTGCCAACAGCCTGCAGTCTTCCTCTGTATTACTTCAGTTGCATCCTTACCAATGGGGAAGTGCAGCGGCGGCTTGTGCAAGTCGGCAAGGCGGTAGAATACTTCGGCGGCCTTGAGCGGGTTCGCGCCAGAGGGCCTCTCGGCGAAGGCAGATATGATCGAGCGAAGAGACACGGCAGGTGCCTTGGCATATACTGGAAGCGGGTCGATATTACCCTGTTTGAACCGGCCTTCCGTGATGAACGAACCAGGCTCGATGGTGGTGACCTATGTGTCGCTCGGTCAACAAATGTCTGCTCGCCACTGAAAGAACAAGTGCCGTACCTTGATGTTCCATGAAGGATCTAATTCTTTGGCCAGAGCTTCGCTAATTCCCTCGAGAGCTACCAATGTTCGCCGAATAAGACGTTACGAGTATGATACTGGAGTCTGGCAACATGCTCAGCAAACTTACCGAACTTCGTCGCGTTATAGAACCCAAGCGCAGGAATGCCCTCAATACCCGCCATGGAGCTGACCTGAAAGAGGCATCCACCAACGCCAGGCTTTTTTACTTCGCGGAAGAACTTGACCGCCGCCTGGGTGACGTGGGTCGCACCCCAGAAGTTCACTTCAAACATGGCACGAATAGGCATCTCCTTTCCAGCGGCGGATTCCACTTCGGACACGACGGAATACGCAGCGTTGTTAAACATCACGTTCAATTGGCCAAACCTCTCCTTCGCTGCGGTGAAGGCAGCGGTGATCTCGTTCTCGTTCTGCACGTCCAACTTGAGCACGAGCAGGCGATCGGCAGGATACTGGACAGAGAGACCTGCAAGCATTTTGGGCTTGTGCAGCGTTGCCACTACGGCGTCGCCATTCTTCAAAGCGATCTCTGTCACGGCGCGACCAAAACCGGTCGATGCGCCAGTGACTGCATAGCAGAGGCGCAGCCTCAAAAAATTATTCCAGGGAAAGGAGGATCCTACTCACTGGACCAAACTTTATGATTTGGCATTGCGACGCGGATTTCGCGTTGAAGATGCAAGAGGCTGTGGGTGCTGATGGGGACATTACTGTACACTGATCCAGCTTTTATATCCTGCTACTGAGCATCATCTACTCACAATTAGCAACATAACCCGGAAGTTCCAGAGTCAGTACGGGGATGTCCCGCGCAACAATATAATAATATAGAGAGTTATCGCCGGTGTCTCGAGATTTGCTACCCACCTCTGACCTTAGGACGTATATGAGGGGCTGCAATCTAAGCCTGAGTCAGTGTCCCCATCCAGAACTCCGAGCCGCTTCGGTATATGCACATAGCGCTGACTAATTTGCGCCTCTGTAGATCCTGCGTATCAGCTGTTGCTTAGTCCAGTCGCGTTGGTCCGTAGTCTGTCGCACTGAAAAACAAGTTCGTCCAATGATGCCATATTTCGAGGACTTTCAGTCCGAAGTGCAGCATCGCTCTGGGGTGTACGTTCGAGCCGGAGTGATCTTATCGCAATAGCAATAATTCGGACGAAGCCCGCGGAAAAACCAATCGAGACTCGTTTTGCAGAATTCAATACGAAGAGTTCAGGTGGCTAAGGCCCATTGTCGCAATACTATACCGAAATGAGCTCGCATATCAATGAGCAGTACATCATGACCAAATTTACTGAACATAAGGATAGACAATGTTTCGTGTCAAGGCGTCGTGTATGGTGTTGTCTATGAGTACGATATCTATTTCCACATCCTCAGCTGACTGTTTTGCAGCGTCTTAAAGTTGAACCTCACTATCGCATCTAGTCCGTGAACTCCAGTCCCGGAGACCACGAAGTATATGTGCCCATCTCGGCCAGAAAGCTTCCAACACTCCTCTTCGCAGCTTCAATCGCATCCTTGCCAATCAGGAAGTGCAGTGGCGGATTGGGCAAGTTGGCAAGCCGATAGAACGCCTCGGCAGCCTTTCGTGGGTCTGGGCCCATGGCATTTTGCTGCAGCGCGGATATAGCCGACCGCGAAAGGACGGCAGGCGCATTAGTATACACGGGAAGCGAGTCAATGCTGAGTACATGTGAGTGGCTCTCTGTTACGAAAAAGTCCGGCTCGAGGATCGTAACCTGTGCGTCGTCGTGTCAACGAAAATCACTTCCACGCCACTGTATCGAGTCATCGCACCTTAATGTTCTATGAAGGATCGAGATCCTTAGCAAGAGCCCCGCTGATTCCCATTAAAGCTGTTGAATTAAGCCCATCAATACACACGCTAAATCACACATTAGCAGGCTGACCGAATTTCGTTGCATTATAGAATTCGAGTACAGACGCACTCTTGATACCCATCATGGGGCTCATTTGCAGGCGGCGGCCACCGATGCTAGGTTCGTTCACCTCCCGAAAGAACTTGACCGCCCCTGAGCGATGCAGATTACTCCCCAGAAGTTCACCTCAAACACACCCTGGGTATACTCTTCTTTTCGAGCTGCTGATTCGATTTCAGATTGAAAAAGCAGCGGTGATCTCATCCTCCTTCACATCTAGCTTAAGCACGAGCAGGTGATCGGCAGGGTACTGTGCGGAGAGACTGGCCAGCACTTCGGGCTTGCGCAGAGTTGCCAACACAGCGCCACCGTTCTTCAAGACAAGCTCTGTCATAGCCCTTCCAAAGCCGGTAGACGCGCCAGTAGCTGCATGGGAACAACATCATATACTTGTATTAGGTGAGAGAAGATATCATTTACGAAACAACACCTTAGTGTTCGGCATTTTGGTACTCGCTGAATGGCTGATGGAGGGAGAACATCGAGCATCAGGAGAGTATCATTTTTACTTAGATGCCTTTCGCGTCGCTTTTAGGCGCTTTCGCGGCATTGCTGGGCGCGAAACGCCGCGACAGCCACTGAGAAGCCCTAAAAGGCTCGAAAAGCGCGCCAAGACAAAGTAATATTCTCCTGATGCAACGGGAACAAGGCTGTGAGCCAATGCAGCATTTATAATCTACCATCGGGCTCCAGCTGACAAGGCAGCCTGCTTCTTACGGTGGAGACGTCTCACAGGGATGTAAGTATAGTCAGGCACTTGCCGTCCTGCACAACCCGGGTGTGCGCATAGGAATTTTGATGTGTCCTCCCAGAGATTACTGTCGATAAGCAGTACATAAATAGAAGAGCACCTGAGCATAAGTCATCCTGCGTGAGCACTGCCATTCATATCTAATCTGCGAACTATAGCCCTTCAGACCAGGAAGCATACGCGTCTATGTCGGCCAGCAAGCTCGCTGCCTTCTTCTTTACAGCTTCAACCGCGTCCTTACCAATAGGGAAGTGCAGCGGCGGCTAGGGCAATTTGGCGAGACGATAAAACGCGTCAGCGGCCTTGCGCGGGTCCGCGCCGGATGGATTCTCGGCCAACGCTAATATGCTCGAGCGCAAAAGGGCGGCAGGCGTCTTGGCGTACGCAGTAAGCGGGTCAATGGTGACAACCTTTGATTGACCTTCCGTGATGAAAGAGCCCGGCTCGATGAGCGTAATCTATGTCCGTATGTCAGTGGGAGTCACTTCTGTGCTGCTCTAGCGGGGAATTGACCTTGATGTTCCATGAGGGATCGAGCTCCATAGCAAGAGCTTCGCTAATTCCCTCTAAAGCTGGTCCGACCCGTCAGTGCGTGCTTTCGACTACGAACGGGCAGGCCAACCAAATTTCGTCGCACTGTAGAACCCGAGTGCAGGCGTACCCTCAACGCCTGACATGGAGCTGACCTGCAAGAGGCGACCACCGACGCCGGGCTTGTTTACTTCGCGGAAGAACTTGACCGCTGCCTGAGTAACATGCGTCGCTCCCCAGAAGTTCACCTCAAATATGTCGCGGGCAGATTCCTCCTTTCCAGCTGCGGATTCTACCTCGGCCATCAGACCATACCCAGCATTGTTGAATACCACATCCAGTCGACCAAACATCTCCTTTGCCTTGGTAAATGCCGCGGTGATCTCGTCCTCGTTCTTCACGTCCAGCTTGAGCACCAACAGGCGATCAGCAGGATACCGCGCAGAGAGATCGACCAACATTTCGGGGTTGCGCAGAGTTGCTACCACAGCGTCACCATTTCTCAGGACGAGCTCTGCCATGGCTCGACCAAAGCCGGTCGAGGCGCCGGTGACTGCATGCCAGATAATTTAGACATTCATACTTGCACAGAGAGAATGCTACTCACTGAACCACACCTCGGTGCTCGACATCGTGGTACAGCTTAGGTGAGTCTCGGAGTGTTCGAGAAAGTCAGCAGATGGAAACAGTGCTCTGAGTCAGTGCGGCATTTGTACCTGACAAGACTATCAGCTGCTTGATTATGGAGACGTCCAATGAATCTGCAAATGATGGTTATCGCCAAAGTCCTCCAGTATCCACAGATGGTACTGACTCGGCCGCATCCTCTGGTAAGTACTTATCTATCAGTGGTATATGGCCGTGAGAATAAGTCCCCAGTGAAAATCTCAGGTAGGAGAGTTTCGAACACCGTCTGAGCAATCCGTCGTGAACGCGTGAGCCATGACTCATG